GGAAAAGTAGTTGCTGGTGGAAATGGAAAAGGAAGTGGACCTAATCACCCATGGAGTAAAATATTCAAAGAAACGGACTGCGTAACGCGTTTCTGAGATTGCAGCATGCGTTTCGCAGCGTTTTTTCAATATAGAACGCGTTTCACAGCATTCTTACTTCGATAGAATGCGTTTTGCTGCTGTCGTTTTTTTGAAACGATCTGAAACGCGTTTTTCCAAGATTGCGTTTCGAAGCGTTTCCGAAGTAAAATAATGTCGAACGCATTTCGGTCGATAGGTAACGCGTTCCAGAGACACAGATTTGGAGAAATGTGAAACGCGTTTCCTTTTCAAACGCATTTTGCATCGTTTTTGCTTGAAATGATGCAAAATATATTCGTTTTGCATACAGAATCTTGCAGGAATTTATCTGTACAAAACGTACGAGTTAAGCAAAGTTAATTCTGGCACTATTTTAGAAATTATACTAAATGGGATTTGAATATTTTGTTCCTTGCACTGTTTCTCAACATGAAAATCATGACCCAAACTTTCCAAACGCAAAATTAAAATCGAATTCATCTAAATGTTTAGGCTGCTAGACTGTTATGTAAGTCTGATTGCTAGTTAGACTAATATTGAACATCAAAGTGTAAGAAAAATATTTTTTTCTTCCTTGAAAACTCATTTCACTAGGTTTTTATTGAAAGAAAACGTGTTTCGTAACGTTCAACCAAGCATTGTTTTAAATATTGAACAATTCGAAAAGGCTTAGTAAAGACTGATGCTAGTATAATGTGTACGACAACTTTGTTTGTTTATTTGTGAAGAAAAGAATCTTGAGTTATTTATAATTTGAATAATTATTGGTATGAATTCATATTTGGACTACTAGATAGTAACTGATGATACTGTGTACAATACTATTAAATATGAATTTTGTTCGTACTTTGTTAATGTAAGCGTGCCTTATTAATAAAAAGAATATTCGATTTACAAAAGAAGATTCTTTGCATTTAGTGATACTTTTGGATAACAGGATGACGAATTTACATATACAAAAATCTATCAAATAAAGAAAACAATTCAAAAAATTTATTTTTAAATTTCTTAAAATTTATATGTAAGAGATTCAACTTGTTTAAATATTAAATACAATTTAAATTAATTAAAATCGTTTCAATTGGGTATTTAAATTTAAATTTAAATAAGTTCAAATAAAAAATATACCAAGAGGAGATCAAACTCGTTATTGGGTATAGACACCAAGGAAATGATAATTTTTAATTTAATGGTTTGGGATACTGAAAATCTAATTTAGTAAGTTTACGGAAGACTCTGAAAAACTATAGAATAAGCACTTATATCATTAGATTATTTTAGTTGAACGGTTTGTACACATGTCTTCTACTCTTATGTTCTCGTGTTCGAATCTATGTGTTGGCTTTATCAAAATTGATCTAAGTTAAAGCTCTAAAGGTGTATGAAAAATGTAAGCGAGTAAATTAATTGTATCTGCAACTCAAAGTGCATGAAGTACTTGACAGTTTTCATTTTTTTCCCTCTAGAATATACGACACCACAGTTAGAGAAACGCTACGAAACGTTTTTAGAAAAACGATCGTTTCACAGCGTTCGTATTAGCAGATGTGAAATGCGTTAAACCGGTCAGCTTTAACGCGTTTCGCAACTATGGAAAAATGCGTTTTGAGAACGCGTTTTTATCGCAGAAATTTACGCCATGGGTACGACAGAAAAAATCGATGGTGAATTGGTGAATTGTGAATCATCTCAAGATATGTTTAATGGTGTAAAAAATATTGTTTCAAGTGTTCGTCGAATGCACAAACAACAAAACCTTTCAAAAAAATTAATTTCATATTCAGACACACGCGTCAGTGGTGCTTATGAAATGTTAATTGTTTTTTTAAATGTCTTTGATGAATTACCTACTATTCTTGAAGTAAAACTTTTATCAATTTATTCACAAATTGACAAAGATCTTTTACATGATATATGTGATTTTTTATTTCCATTTAATACTGTTCTTGAAATATTGAGCGACATTAAACGACCAACACTTCATCGTGCATTACCATTTAAGCAGTTCTTAGTTAATAAATGTAATATTAATGATGATGATCGAGAAGGTTTAAAACAACTGAAATCTTTTTTAGGTATGACATTTGAAAAATAATTATGAATTTAAATTTTTTTGTTTTTTTAATAAATTTCTAGCACAAAAATTAGATGAAAAATGGGAGTTAACAGATGAACATCTTATTGCTACATTAATTCATCCAAATCTAAAACATTTTCAAATGTGTCCTCATCTGAAAGAACGTGCAATACTCTTATTAAAACAAGAAATGATAAAAATACAAGGTGTTATATCTACACGTACATCAACTACCATACATTCATCAATAATACCATCGTCAACGTCTTCAGTACCATATTCTTCATCTTCAACATCGACTTTAATTAATAGGTCTTCATCTGCACGAAAAAATTTATTATTAGAAATATTTTACAAAAAATCTGCAGTACCCGAAAAAACAAGTGTCGAGCAAGAATTAGAAAAATATCTCGCATCTACGTCTGTAGTACAAGATGAAGAACAAGATGATATACTTCTCTATTGGCGAGAGCATCAAGAATTATTTCCATTAATTGCATCAATTGCTCGTGATATATTGGCTATTCCCGCTTCCAACACATCTGTTGAACGTTTATTTTCATCATGTAAAAACACCGTTACTGATAAACGGACACGGCTTGGAACGGAAAAGTTAAACAAACTTATGTTTTTACAAAAAAATTTGGATGTGTTAAAGAAAAAATTTGATGTTAAGTCTATTGAAACAAATAATGATCAAGAAACAAAACGAAAACATGATGCAATCATGTTAGATGATCAGTCGACGTCAAAAAAACTAAAGCTACTGGATACTCCGATCAATCATCAAAATAATAGTGAAGATATAGTGAATGTTCCAAGTGAAGATGATAAAGAAACTATTTAATTATGTGATTTTTTCACTTGTTCTCTTTCAATTTTGTGTTTTGTATAAATAGTATTTAATTACTTTTTGTGTTTTATGTATCTTTTTTGTTACAAGTTGTATATGAGTTGTCAGATCTTTTTCTGATTTGAATGTGAAAGATTATATTTCTGAATAAAGAGTTAAGATTTTGAACGTATATATTATGATCGTGATCACGAAATCTTTTGTCAATCACAGTCACGATCACGAACTTTCTCTTCGATCACGATCTCGATCACGATCACGAAGAAGATCGTTTATCAGTCACGATCACGATCACGAAAAAAATTTCTGATCACGCACGATCACGCGTGGTCATGACCGTGATCGTGATTTTAATGATCACGCACTTCACTAGTGTGGGGTGTGGGTGTGATTTGCTCGTCATACACATACCCGCACAGCATCATCCACATCCAGGCCCCTCGTGAGTATGGGGTGTAGGGAGTGTACACCGCCCCCCCCCCCCAAAAAAAAAGATCAGAAATTTTCAGTTTTCTTCCGCCACAAGAACAGATTTTGACCACATTTTATGTTTTTTTTTGTTCAAGATTTTTCTGAAAATACTTCCTTACACGCCTCCCCCCAATCCGCCATACACCCGACTAATATTTGATCCTTCGCGCGGGCCTATCCACACGCAGCCCACACTGAAAAAAAATTGGTACGATACCGAACCCAAAAGGGTGTTTTAGACTAAAAAAGGTTTCCTACATAGTACGGAACCTAAAAGGGTTTCGTAGATACAACTACGAAACACTTGAAAAAAGTATTCTAAGTCTATGACGATTATTTTCAGGCAACCGAAGTTTTTACGAAACCTTTTTGAGGGTTCCGTATTCATTTCAAAAAGGGTTTGGTAATCATACTAATTTTTTTCTAGTGCACCGAACCGTTTTCGAAATAAATACGGAACCCTCAAAAGATTCCGTAAAAACTTTGTGTGCCTGAAAATAATCGTCATAGACTTAGAATACTTTTTTCAAATGTTTCGTAGTTCTATCTACGAAACCTAAAAAGGTTCAGAGAGTTGAAACGAAATCGAAACTCTTTTGGGTTTCGTACTATGTACAAAACCTTTTTCTAGTCCAAAACACCCTTTTGGGTTCGATGTCGTACCAATTTTTTTCAGTGCACATCCACTCCACTTCGGCGTATATTCCTGTGTAAAAAATTCAATGTCGATTTTTTTTCGAAAAATTGGGTTTTCTAAGGG